TGCAAGGGTTACTTTAAAGTACTGTGTCCTTGCGAAAAAAAATGGTAGCGACTCGTGTTTTTTTAAATTGAAGAGGAAGGTTTGTACTTTACGTTCCTGCAAACAGTATCCCCGAAAAAAATGTACCTAGCCCATGCACTCCATCAAACTTTGCAATTTTCAATACAACAAACATGCCCTCACATTTAAGGTGTTACAGTGGTAGGGATGCATCACACCTAAACACTAACTATAGTATCTTAAAGTAGAGATTTCAAGCTTTAATTTAAAAAAAGAACATAATTTTACGATGATTTTTCGCGGAGTTACCGTCAGTCAAAGTTGACCAATTTTTGCATAAAATTTTTCTATGCCATATTTCTTTTGAGCAGTGTATATATGTGTGTAATTATATTACATTACACTTAAAATCCATTTTACATGGTCATATTTACAATTAAAAATAATATTCAGGCAGGTGTAATGCAAGATAACCAAACAGCTGGGAAATCGTCGAATCTAGTTCAGACTTCATCCATTGATGCTTTATCTACAGAGGAAACTATCTGCAATTTTAACGAAATTGCACACGGCAAAGAAACACACAATACATTAACTACAAGAACAAAAGATGTTTTATTTTGCAAGGAAAATGGTGTGAGTAGTTTAAATGAAATTGTATACGATGAGAATGATTCTGAGAATCTAATGAAGATATGAGCCGTAATGATCAAAGCGATAATGATGATGTCATTTGTGAAGATTAGTTTGATTCGTTTGATAGTCTGAATATTAATAATGACACAAATGACAACATTATTATGTTGGAAGCTGCAAATTTATCTATTCGTCAAGTTTTCACAATGGTCCAAGCATTATGTTTGCGTTATCATCATTCCGATGAATCTAGACATGTGCTATGAAATTTAATAAAAAGTTTGGCTGGGCCAAAATTTAGTTATATAAATACTTCAATGTATACAGTGTCAAAATTGTACAAACCACCCGAGGATAAAATGTTGTACATATTTTCTTGTATTGAATGTTACACCCCACTGTTAAATCCACTTTCAAAAGATTGTGTTGGTCAGAAGAAGACTGTTATGTGTGGTCAGTGTGAAAAAAGTACGAGATTTCTCCAAAATCTCCAAACTATTTTATATCCAATTATGTCGAACATCAAATTCGAGTCTTATTAGAGAATGAAAATATGCGAAATACTTTGATGAATAAATTAGCAAACGTAACCACATTACAGGAAACAAGTATGTCAGATGTATACGATAGTACTTTATATAAGAATATCACACAGAATTAAGAGTGTAAAATTTTGACTTTTAATTTTAATACAGATGGCTTTCCTATATTTAAAACTAGCAAAAATAGTATTTGGTCCTTGCTATTAATATTAAACGACTTGCCACCTAAATGTAGATTCGAAACTGTAATATTAGCTTGTTTGTGGATATCCAAATCTGAACCACAAACGAAGTTTATGAATTTATATCTCAAGTTTTTATTCAACAAATAGAAAAATTAATGAACGATGGTGTCACCATCTTAAATAGTAACAATGAAAATATTAAATTCGTTTTACGGCCATTGTGTGCATCGGTCAACTCGGTTGCTCGTCCTATAATCCAAAATCGAATTCAGTTCAATGGCTACTATGGATGTAGCTGGTGCTACGATGAAGGTGAATACGCACATGGTTCTATGCGACATCCTTTTACAGAAAATTAGTTACTGCGAAGCCATGAAAACTATCTAAAAGACGTAAACGAAGTTAATCGTATGCAAAGAGTAGTTAATGACGTTAAAGGTGCTTCTATTTTGACCACATTAGAACATTTCGATTGTGTGTGTGTACGAGAACGAGAAGGAAGTATCTCGCTCTAACTTCGCCGCGTTCACCGCGACCCCGAAGATGAAAAGCGACTCCATCGACGAACTCGATCGCATCTTCAACGCCGTGACCAGTGTCGTTAGTGGGCAGGAGGGCATCGGTCGGCCCATTGATTTCCACGGGTTTGACCTCCTGAACCACCTCGTTGCCGAATTGTTCGACCCGAAGACTCGCCTTGAGCGTACACCAGCGAATCGAACGACGTTCCTAGTAACGAGACTTTGTTGAAATTTGTGACAAGACGAGCTCTTACACTCAAAGTCGCGAAAGCAACAACCGCGAAGGTCTCCGGAGACACACCGCGAACCACGAAGTCACATCACATCAAACAAGCCACCGCTTCGTCGCAATGCGTCTTGTGCAAGGGCAAGCACAACGTAATGATGTGCGATGAGTTCATGGCAAAGCCCGCGACCGAACGAAAAGCCGTCGCAGAAACACACCGACTCTGCTACAACTGCTTCGGGTCACACCAGTCCGCGAAAACCTGCTTGACATGTAAGGCTCGACATCACACGATGCTCCACGAGGCTTACGCCACGTCGAAAGTCCCCGAAGCCAATGCTCTCTCCGCCGTCCGCAAGAACGACAGCACCAAGGCGATTCTTCTCGCAACCGCGAGAGTGAACGTTGCCGACCGTCATGGAACCCCGCACACAGTCAGAGCCCTGATCGACCAGGGGTCAGAGGTCTCGCTGATTGCCGAATCGCTCGTGCAACGCCTGCACTTGCCGCGATCCCGATCCTCTGTCTCGATCATTGGCATCGGGGGCATCCGCACTGGGTCTACCCGCGGCACGGTCACACTTAATCTCTCGTCCACCGTGAACGAGACCGAGTTGACCGTCATCGCCTTCATCCTGCCACGTCTCTCGCTCTATCAAAGCGCCGTCGCCCACGGGAAGACTAAGTGGCCTCACGTGGAGGGTCTCCAGTTGGCCGACCCGAGATTCCAAGCCGACGATCCAATAGAGTTGCTTCTCGGAGCGGAAGTGTGCTCCATTATCCTCGAGGAGGGCCTCCGTAAAGGAGGTCCTCAAACGCCTGTCGCGCAACGCACGCTGCTGGGCTGGATCCTGTCCAGCGGGTGCGGTGACACCTCATCGCCAACGCCGCGCACTTTTCCTCAGTGCACGGTAGAGCACGAGATGGTTTCGCTCGTGCAACGTTTCTGGGAGCAGGAACAAAGAGCTTCTCCCCCCGTTGCTCTCACGCCAGACGAGCAGCTGTGCGAGGATAACTTCGCTCGCACATACACTCGCTCCGCGACTGGTCGGTACGTGGTGAAGTTGCCCTTCACCTCCCCGCCGACGACACTCGGAGAAACACGAAAACCTGCAAAAAAACTGCTGCACGCCATGGAGCCGAAGTACGGCCTCGACTCCCGGTTCGGGGAGCTTTACCGCGCCTTCCTCAAGGAATACGAAGACATGAGCCATATGACGCCAATGGGCGAAACGTCCAACTCACCCAGCCGAGAACTCTACTATCTCCCGCATCACGGACTGGATACGTATGATAATTATCGTATTTGTACGTTAATTTTAGCCATTTTACGATGTACGATACTACTTTGGATATCGTACGTAAATATACGATAATTTGAAAAATTAATTTTATGCTCTGAGGGCAACTTTCACCAAGCTCCGGTTAACCCAACCGGTCTAGTAACATGCAGGATTGCAACCAAAGCTGATATCGGAGAAAATATGTGAGTTGGTAATACTACTAAATAAGTGCAAAAGTGCAAGGACAGTTTGCATTTGATTGTAGGATTTGCATTTGTTTAGTAGCGTTACCAATCCAAATATTTTTCTCTAACATCAGCTTCGGTTGCAATTTTGCATGTTACTAGACTGAGTTAGGTTAACCGGAGCTTGATGAAAGTTGCCTTCAGAAGAAGAAAATAATTTAAAATACGTAGTATACTACGTATAGACTTATTAGAGCATCGATAAGCGAATGTCTGAAATAACGATCGAGATAAACACGTACAAATCATTCAATAATATTAGGTAAATTTGACTTTCTTTTTTGCGATCTAATTTTTTCTATGAAATTTTTACGTGAAATTTATCTAAAATCTTTATTCATTAATTTATACAGAAACAAAATAAACTTGAGTACTAGATTCTCTAGAATAGAGAATATATCCGTAGAAGACGATATCCGTATTAAAAATAAAAATGTTATCTTTCTTGCTTCATGTTGGAAAGAAAAAGATAAACTCTGAACTAGTGCAGCCAGTTCAACTGAAAAGAACAGACTCATTTAAAATTAGCATTTTTAAATGAACAGATTTAAATCGATCCGAAAAGGACTAATTATAAACTTATTTACAATTATTCCTAATAGAAATAGCATATAAATAATTATTTTATTAATGTTTCTAAATATGTACGATAATTTTTGTTGAAATACGATAATTTAGTACCACGCATACGATAAGCGCCCTCTCAGAATCTGCGAACGCTGTGACATGGAGTGCTCCGGGAGTCAAGCACCACAACCAAGATGCGCGTCGTCTTCAACGGATCTCAGCGCACCACCTCCGGTGAGTCGTTAAATTCGAACTTGCTTACCGGCGCCAACTTGCTGCCGAACCTCGCAGACGTACTGATGCGCTGGCGCTGGCACCGCTACGCGCTTGTGGCTGACATCGAGAAGACGTACCGCCAAATTCTGGTTGCCCTCGAAGATCAAGATTTCCAGCGAATCTTCTGGAGGCACTCAACTGCTGATACAATGCGCGAGTTTCGCTTGAATACAGTCACCTATGGCCTCGCGTGCGCGCCGTTTCTGGCCATCCGCACTCTCCAAAAACTCGCTGCCGACGAAGAAGACCGATTTCCGCTCGGCGCGGCCGCCTTGCGCCGCGATTGCTATGTTGACGACATCGTCACCGGAGCGCACGAAAGGTTCAACGCAATCGCGGTGCAGTGCGAGCTCCAACAGCTTTGCATGACGGCGGGTTCCCACTCAGAAAGTGGGCCGCGAACTGCCCCAAAATTCTTGCCGGAATCCCACCCGAACACCACCTGAGTAAAGAGCCGCACTCGTGGGAACATGAAAGGAGTTCACTCAATGCTGGGATTGCGCTGGCACCCGAACGACGACGCGTTCGCGTTCACAATACGACCCCGCACTGTGGTTGAAGTCACGAAGAAGTCCTCGCAGAGACGGCGCGACTCTTTGATCCGCTTGGCTGGCTGGCACCCGTCATCATCCGAGCGAAAATCTTAATCCAGTCAGCATGGATGAAACAGCTGGACTGGGATGCGCTACTCCCGTCAGTGGACGTCCTCCAATGGAAGAACTTCTTCGAGGAGCTTCCGCTTCTCGAAAGCCTTTGCGTCGACCGTTGACTAGGCAGCGGTGCCGAAGACTCACGCGTCGAGCTCCACGGTTTCGCCGACGCATCCGAGAGAGGATACGCCGCCGTGACCTACGTCGGACTGGAGCACGGCGACAATGTTCAAGTTCGGTTGCTTGCGGCCAAAAGCAAAATCGCTCCGATACGGCCCGTCTCGCTGCCACGACTTGAGCTCTGCGCTGCCGCCCTTCTCTCCAAACTAATAGCACACGTTCAATCGATTCTCAGTTTGTCCAACTGTCCTTTGGTCCGATTCGAAGATCACACTCCACTGGATCCAGGGTCATGCCTCTCGGTGGAAGACGTACGTGGCCAACCGAGTGGCGCTCATTCAGCAGGTTCTTCCAGACGCTCAATGGCGTCACATTCCGGGCCGAGAGAATCCAGCTGACTGCGCCTCCTGAGGAGTTGCTCCGAGCAAGCTCATCCACCATCCCCTATGGTGGACTGGTCCGCCTTGGCTGGCGAAGAACCGAGCGAGTTGGCCTAGCAAGGCGTTGGACGTGCCTCATGAGGAGATCCCAAAACGAAAAGCCATAGCACACGTCGCCGTCGCCAGGATCGTCGAGGGACCGGATCTCCTTCTCCAGTTTTCCACGCTCCATCGGCATCTAAGAGTCACGGTCTGGTGCCTGCATTGGCGACGCGCCGCGGACAAACCAGATGGGCGAAGCGCTACACCAACTCCGAGTCCCGACGAGCTTGACACGGCACTCACTCGATGGCTCCGCGTGGTGCAAGCCCTGCACCACCCCGTCGAAATCGCCGCAGCCACGGGCAACCATTCACTTCCGCGCAAAAGTACTCTAATAAAATAAAATCCCTACCTAGATGACGCTGGAGTTCTTAGGGTCGGAGAACGTCTAAAGCACGCCGTGCTTCCCTACGACGAACAGCACCCGATGATTGCCTCGTCGCGGTCCCACTTGTAAGATAGCAGAGAACCATCCCCTCTCTATCGAATAGTGATATTCGCTGTGTGCGTAGAGACTAGTGCTGCCGCGGTTGGTGAAATGTCGCATATTTTGCTGGAATAGCTGTCAATGATTGCTAATATTCAAGTTACGTAAACTGTCGTGAGGTATCTTGATAATTTTAGATCTCTTTGTAATTTCAATGATGAAAAAAGTTTCGTTATATTACAAAACATTTGCTATCGATTTTTCATTATATGTGTAGGTTAACTTTTCTAACTTTTGCAATGAGCCTTATTATACGAACGGGATTTGGACCCATTACTCATAACATTAAATTTAATCCGAGTGCAATACCGAAAGGAAAAGCTTTAGCAATATCGCATGTAGTTCGCGTTGAAGAATTGCGCAGTGAAAATATAAGTCACTTAATAAGATGCAGTGTGATACCGCAAACGTCTGTCAATGCTACTCCGTACAAGGTACAATTACATGTAAGTATTAAATGAAATTTAAGTAAAATCCCAGACAACGTTATATCGTCTTAAAGACATATCTTAAAGATGTCTTTAAGACGATTAAAGACATCTTAAATATGTCTTTAAGACGATAAAAATGCATTATTTATTGCGGCTTTCCGATAAACGCCACATAACTTACGCATCATGCACGTACGTATCTCAAGCCGGAGGAAAATGCAAGCACATATGCGCTCTTATACAGTATATCAACTCCAATAGGAGTATTACAAAAACGAGTCTTGAGCAGGAATGGGGTAGACCATCAGATAAGCAATTGGGCCATGAAATGTATGCAAAACCAATGCTTATCACAAATTTATTTAAACCGAATACACTTGAAATCAATCGTGCGAATTCCAGTATCGTTCCTCTTACAATTAGTCTACAACTCGAAGATCTCAAGTATTCCTCGGCGTTACGAATAATTCTCAAAGAATATAACATGAACGAGAACGAACGATTCGTGAAAGAGATTTTACGAGAACATATCTAAATACTTCGCGATTGAAATCAGCGACATTAATAATTGTGAGGCATGCATTACTAATTTATTTAACTTTTGTGAGGATCATCTGGTATACTCATCAAATTACATAATAGCAGATGAAGTGTTGAAAGCATTTTACGCACGAGAAGTTTTTCTGGACGAGAATGAAATAATCCAGATATGCGTGGAAACTCTGAGACAGTCTTACTCAGATAAATGGTTTTCTGCACGAAACATCAGGATCTCTGCTAGCTCAAGAGCACATTCGATCAAAACGAAGCAATTAAAAAAGATCGATGCTTTGATTAACAAGTTTTTGACCTCTTCGAGTATAACCGGTCAAGGTAAAAAAAATACACAGTATGGCTCAAAAAATGAATATGAAGCTTTGAAAGAATACGAAATCATCCATGGAGCAAAAGTTATTCAGATAGGAGTACTGGTATCAAAAACTCAGCCGTGGCTTTGCGCATCACCTGACGGTGTAGTAATTGAAAATGATTATAACAAAACTAGTTGAAATCAAGTGCCCTGTTTTGTGCGAAAAATTTCCGGTTGTCAACTTTGATTCATATACGATAAACGTTAAATATCTATATTTTTGGAATGGCAATATCGAGCTAAAGAAAAGTCATATACAGGGTGTCAGATACTATACTCAATGTCAGGTACAGTTGTATGTGACTGGATTGACAGTGTGTGACCTGTATGTCTGGTCTCCTAAAGGAAGCTGTACCGTGCCAGTTCACGGAGACGAAGATTTTTTGAAACTTCTGATCCCGAAACTTGAGACATTCTATTTTCAACACTTTTTGGAAGTATTAGCGCGTTTTTCGAACGAAAATAATAATAAAAATATATAAAATATATAAAAATATTACATATATATAATAATATATAAAAACTTAAAAATGAAATAATGATACAATTAACAGGTTTCTCGTAACTTTAATTTGTTATTTATTGTAAAACCATATTTGTAATCGTTTGGAGAAATGAAATATTAGGTAATGTTTTTATTTATATTGTATTAATTGGATATTTATTTATATACAAAACCGAACATATCATATACCGAGTTTTTTGTCTAGTCTACCTGTGTGATCACTGTTTCTTCTACATTTCCGTTTTTAATAATCGGTGGCTGCAAGTTCACGAGGACACCACACATGAATACAATATTATCAGCATAAGGAAGCATATCGATCGACAATTTATCCAAAATTTTGTAAATTTTCAATTTTTGCATAATTCTTTCGATGTGAATTCTTACTTTCGCGACTTTATACGTTTTCTCTACATCTTCTGCCGAAAATTGTGGATCGTGTAGGAATGGCGGCATAACAACTAGAACCCCTTTCCCATTTTCATCTAGAACGGTTTGAATTCCAGGAAAACCTTTATCCGCGAGGACAACATCACCAGGTTCGAGCAAGTCTAATATACCTGAATCAATAGTGATTTGACTATCACTGGTCCGTCCTCCATAACAATTCGAGATAAATGAAATTAAACCACTCGGAGTGCATCCAACAAGAATTTTTGCCGTAAAGCATTTTTTATAATGCGAGTACAAGTACACCCGTTTTTCTACAGTACTTGGTTGCTCCACCTTTATTTCAGTACAATCAATAATTACTCTGCAATCCTTGTATGATGAAAATTTCGGGCAAAGTATTTTGAACTACTTCTCGACAAGGCCAAAAAATGAATCGACTACAAGCAACTCTTAGAAATGTCAAAGTAGTATAAAAAATACGAGATGTGGTTGTTCTGTGAATACGAAATAAAACGCCTATAGCTGAAAATGACATTCCACTTTTCATTTTCAAGAGAAATATAAGGAGCTGATTTTTTGTAGAGATCTTCTTCGGTTTGTTATCGAGTAATAATTTGAGTAGCAATTGAAAAGTAGATAAGGTGACACCACCAAGATTAAGCATTTCTTGTTCCTTTGTTATTGACAATATGCCATGAAAACCCGTTGTACACATTATAGAATTTGTGATATTAAAATCAGGAGTATCAGGACCAATCGCCTTGTCAACCTGAATAATACTAGGGCCGCAACGTTTGTCTCTCACATGGATGTAACGATGCACCCCGAAAACGCATCGTTCCCGGCGAAAGCCGGATGCCGCCAAACACCGGGCGAAGGGTGAGCGCACGGCGCTCACCGCCTAAGTCCATCATACGACGCGCTCGCGCGGCGAACCGATCGCCCGCGGGAACAGCCGAGCGCGCCCGAGCCGGCGAGACACGCGTGTCGCGCTGTCTCCCGGCCGCGCAAGCGCGCGAACACGCTACCCCGACCCGTCTACCCCTACCAGCCGAAGATTGTTAAAATAAAATAACAATTGGGGGTAGACGGGTATAAAAGACGGGATCCGAAGCCAAAAAAGCAGATTCCGCCGCTAGCCTAGACTATACCAGCACGAAGCCCGCTCACGAATCCCGATCCGCAAAGCCTGCTCTCGATAACGAGACGAAACCGAGGTGAGGAGCAACTCGCCGAGTGTTCTCGGCTTCGCTCAAAAGACCGCAGACCGAGCAATCCTTATACACGGCCCGGTAGATACATCGAGGTGAGGTGTTACTCACCCCCAGCGGGTGTTCCCGCTGACTACCGGTGCCCCGGATCCTATGCACCTCGGCGTGCCCGGACTGAGACGGAGGTGAGGAGGTGACTCGACCCCGCCGGTTGTTACCGGCACCGGACTCGACCGTACCTATAGATCCGAATTAACACCCACGGAATCTCACCGCGAACGGGGGGCGATACATCCGCGCCGGGCCACCGCCGCTACGGCCCGTACACGCGCCGCGCACCGACCGGCCCTTTAAACAGCCCGGAAATCACGCCGCCGAGAGTCGCGCCGCGGTGATTTAACTCGCTGCGCGGCTCTTTAACTCGCTTCACGGCCGCATCCGTATCGCGCACGCGCCGCGCACCGTCACCGTAGCCACGCGGGCCGTAGCTCCGCGTGAATACGCATTGTAAATACGATCATCCGAGCACTTGTAAATATCATTAATTCTGTCATCAAATAAATCCGCTTGTCCGTCAGATTTTCGTACTTAATATCGTACCCTGACTCTTACGCGAACTCCGGTCCGACGAGCTAGTCCGGTTCGCTAATTCAACTCAACGGAGAGTCGTTTCATGCCTTCTTTTAGCAATCTGTAAGCCACGGTTTTCAGGTATATACACTTGAGTTTGTGCGTGGCAAATCTCATTATACACATATTGAGTGCAAATAAACATCTCTGTTCTTTCATAGAGATTTTGATAACCCACAGAAGTTGTAAACATCGAAACCTGACCCTCCTGGTTAACTTTGAATGATAGTGCAGAACCTTCGATAAATTTATCAAAATAACACGACTGCTGTTGCGGTTCCTTCAAAGTATTTGTTACATCGTCAACTTTCTTTACATTGTCCTTGATACTTAATGTACTACACAGTCTTCGACGCATACTCCTATTGAATCTACACAAAATAATACTTATTTATATTTTATTTTACAAATCATAATTTAAATTTTACTAAAAAGTAATTATAATTTTTATTTACCGTTGAATTGAAGATTTCTCGATAGAACTTAATTCATGATTTTTTCTTCCCGAGATGCTCGGAACGTAACTAGGACTTGATTGTATTGAAGAAGAACGGTTCCCTACGAAGTGTGCACTGCAAATTCGTGAATATTTTGTAGGCTGCCAATCATGTGAGCTACAAACAAATTGTTTCAAAAATCATTTGTGTGACAATATGCTACAAATTTTTTTAACAAGGTGAAATAGGAACATATAACCTGAAAGAATGTACTTACTTCATTTTTTGTACCCAACGTATCCACATTTTTCGCTGGTCAATTTTATAAACCGCTTTTGGAAATGAGTAAAATTTAACATCTGCAGATGTATTGTGATATACATTTTTACATGAATACACGCAACAATTTAAATTTCCCTTTCGCAATTTTTCCATTTTTCAATAATTGTCACACTCCAGCAAATAATGTAAACTTCGGCCACCATGAGCGCCCTAAGTCCTACTTTTCCGCTATAGTATATCATCGCACGAAGCGAATAGAGGGGAAGATCCAGACGCGCAGGCCCGAAGATCCGCAAGCTCAGATCAAGGGACCGCACGTGGTCTCTGCCTCTTTCGTTTCGGGCCTTTCATCGATCATCACCAAATATTGGAGGTCTATATCGAAGATTCCGAGAGTTTGATTCTTGAGAGAAGGGAAACTAGAATATCCAGAGGACGAGATTACGAATGGACTCCAGATAGAGGCAATTAATAAGACCGGAATTCTATGGCCTGTCAGAAAGGCTCTGAAACATGTGAGAGAACCAACGAGGGATCGACACTCTCGAGAGATGAGTAAATCACGTTATCTCCTGACCCACCCATATTTGATATTGTGACTTAGAAGGAAATTCGTAATTTATAATCAATTTAAATAGTTCCCCTTCGAGAACTTTACGGTTGGCATCGAACTAATGTTATTTAACCGTGCATGTCTTGACCTTGTAGCGCCAGACTACGGAAATATCTTCATCACGTCTCCTCGGTGTTATATTCAAATGTTTATTGTAAACTGTGCTCTTGAGAGCAGTAACGTAATGAACGATATTGTATATTTGGTTGAAACTTATAGAATTATAAAGAATTTTTGGTAATTAT